AGGTCCTGACGCTGGACTTGAACTTTCAGTGGGAACAGAACTAGGTACAGTGGACCCTGTAGGAGCTCCAGTGCTTCCAAGTCCACCTAAACCAGGATTAAATCTGCATAAACAACATAAAAAGATGCACAAATGACATAAGAAGAAATACACCACCTGAATAATGAATACTAGCTTGTCTCTTCTCATTTATTGAATTACCGAGTAAAAATCCTGCTACAGAGTGAATGACAATTTAAGTAAACTACTAAGACAGAGTCAGCAGTGTTTAGAAATGCATAGCAGGCAAAAGTGTGACATTATAAAACAAGTTTAATTAAACTAAAAAAGGCAGGAGGAGGAGTCTTTAATAAAAGCTGGGTGAATCTCTGCATGTAAAAAAAGAATGAACAACATAATATAAAAGTTCTTGGTTGAATTTTTAAGACTGATTCTTACCCTGGTATAAGCCCTGGTGCTTCTGTTGCTAGTGTTTGCAAGCCCTGCTGAATCTGTAGCAACGCCTGCATTGCTCTAGGGTTTGACATAGCTGATAACGTATCAGGATTCTGCATCTAAGAAAAAGAGAGAAACTCTCAATCAAATGCAGATGTTCAAAGTTACTCTTTATCATTAGAGGTTTCATAGAGTCTGACATCATGTCAGATCTTGTCTTTCAACTTTATATTTACATGAAATCCTTCAGTGTTTGTTGGGTTTTTTTGAGAAAATTTCTGCAGGAGGTGATCAATGAACTCTCTAGGTGTGGATAAAGCCTTTCAAATGAGAAGTACACAAGGAAAAGTATTTTTCATGATCTCTCTAGCAGACTTCATCTCTTTTCAAATCCATAGGACTGTATTAATCCAACAATAGAATTAGTAGAATTCCTACATCATACTACTGGTAAGCAACAACGCTGAACACAATGAAACTTGATCAACAGATACGTAAGAAATAGTTATACCGCATTTCTTTTCCTAGCTAAATTTAGACCACAGCAGTTTAAGCATGACTATTTGTGCATGTCTCCATCTCTGCAGTGTCCTTGCAGCCTAGAGAAATGCAAACAAATACACTGCAAAACTCATTAGCAAGCAAAGGTAATATTCAAGGGCTCTCACTCTACTGTGACTTCAATTAAGAACTGGCTTTCACATCCACAGATAAATTTAAAAGGCCAATCCTTTTAGTTTCTGAAATTAAATGTCTGGAAACCTGACTATTTTAGATACAAAACTAATGGCTTAATGCTCACCTTAATGAGACAGCAAGAACAGCAAGCTGTTAATACTCTTCATTGAGCTCTATAATTTTTCTCTCTCTCATAGCTAAAAGTCAGAAAATAACTAAATATGTAGCTGCCAAAGGTTACCTACTTTTAAAGAGGGAAGTATTCTGGGTTCTCCCAAGAAAGCTGCTGCAATTACTTTAATAAAATATTTATATCATTACTTATTGTCTGATATTTGGAATTGTTTTACAGAAATAATAGCCCAACAATTCTCAGAGCAGATTACATGGATCATCTCTCTATTAATGCTGTTAATTTCAGCTGTTAAGTAGCAGCAATTCCTGTTAATACTTCTACAAAAGTTGCAGATGGAGTAGCTTACGAGTCTTCCTAGTTCTGCTGGGCAAATGCACTTTATTGCAAAAGATGCCTTCAGTTATACAGAGGAACATGACATAGTTCACCCAATCCCATAATACAAGCACCAGTATACCAAGAAATTATGAGCTCTAATTTTATTGACATTCTGAGAATTCCCACATATTTCTTTGCTTTGTTTCACTGGCTAATGCTGCTGATCATCAGACCTAACACAGTGAAAACAAATGAGAACCAGCTGTGCAAATAATTCCTAGGGTGATACTGACAGAAAGATAACTGGAGGAAACAGAAATGATAACTACTGTGCCTTCATTAATTACCATTTATTCACATATTTCAAAGCATGCATGTAGTACTAGTTCTTCAGATACTACCAAGTCATTACAAAGCTGTGGCATTATGAAATACTACAGCTATTCATGTGGTTGAAACAATATAAACAGTTTCTTCTGAACACTAAATTTGCTACTATAATTCATGTATGTATTAATTATTTTACTCAAAACTGCCTGTGTGTTATCAGATCTTAAAAATGCACATTTACTCTGATTTGCAAGGATGTCTAACTGTACAACTCAGGCACTGGATTAAGTTTTCAATTTCTAAAAAAGTCTTTCTTGCTCCTGTTTAGGGAACACATTACTACTACACACTGTGGCAGCTAACACCAAGCAGATACCTGGGCTGCAAATAAAATGTTGTTAAGAGGGGAAGACAGTGGTAAAGCAATCTTTACAGGCAAAAAAACCTTAGAATCCACTTCTTTTCAATTAGCTAATGATCTGAGTCTTTCAAGGGATGCTGCAAGATCTCTTTACCCAAATGATTATGGCAGGTTTGAAAAGGTAAGAGAAAAGCATAGTGAGAAGAGAGAAAAGCAGCATTCTATTAATGGGAAAAGTACTAGTCTTTTAATTTGCAAAACAGATGTTGTCTGGCTGGTGCACAGTCAGACTGTGCAAAGAAGCAAAAGCAAATCTAAGTGGTTGTGCTAGCCATAGACAAAAATATCTGCTAAAAGTCAGGTTTAATTTTTGAAAGGGATGGAGACACTAAGCAAGACTTCATTAGCAAGGGACAACCTAATTTAATGTCTAAAACTAATGAGAATATATTATACAATTTAGCTTTTAGTCAAATAAAAAAGACACCATTGAAAATATTGCTCATTGACTTGCAGACACTTATTAACAGCTAGTATCTCATCTTACTTGCTGAAGGAAAGTAGGAAGTTGTTGTCTCATTTGTTCCTGAAGTTGAGGATTTCCAGCAAATAAAGGATTATTCAACATCATCTATGGGGCAAAAATATTTATCTTAAAAGATCAAGCAGTAAAAACCACAGGGGGTTTTAAAGGCAACTACTCACAGGGTAACATTCTATGAAAATAACCTCACAGAATAATAATCATGTACTTCTCCTTTGGTCAAAACTTGTTATGACCCACCAGCCTGAACAGATCACAACGGCTTTTGTTGTTGTTTTAGTTTTATTTGTTGTTTTTTTTAAAAAAAGAAGTTAAAATCAGAGTAACACCTAAATATGGCAGTAACTCCCCTCTTTCTGAGCCATTCACTACAGACAACTGTTGAGAAGTTGGCGCAAGTGAAAATTTAACTGCACCACAGATTCAACTTTTTTTTTTTCTCACTTCAATGTACACAGTACAATACTACACCAAATGCATTTACCTGTACAGCAAGATCAGGATTCTGGCTTAATGACTGCATCATGCTTCTCATATAGGGTGCAGCCAACATATTCTGCATAAGTTGTGGGTTTTCTGTTATTTGCTGTAATAAGCTCTGCATTCCTGGCGTGTTGAACATACCAGCTTAAAAAAAGCAAAAGGCTACTTTAGTAAGCATACTGACTATCCTCAGACAAATCAGACTACCTAAAACAAGGCTATAACCACTTGGTTTCTAAGAACTTTAGTCTCTGAAATAAACACCAACATGGTTCTGCTTACACAGACACATCTACCCCAGAAGTTAAGACAGAGGCTGTATCCAACAAGAAGTCCTCACTAAGTATCTACATTATTAGTGGTTTTCACACTTGCCTCTAAACAGGAAAACTACTAGAATTCATCTAGAGATTCCCTACCTTTGTTATTTTAAGGTAATACACAAGTACTAGTATTACTCTTAAGTTTACTTTTCATGTTTGTTTTTCTACAGAGGAATTTGATACTAGTCAACTGTTTTACATAAGTAAATAGCAATACAAAACTTTAAATCAAAAACTCCTTCCAATGAAATAATAATTTCAGCAAGCTCCCAAGTATGTGCAAATATATACAACTGCAATAACAAACACACCTCCTAGTCCAGGTCCCAAATTTGGTACAGCTGAGCTCTGTCCTGTACTGCCAGAGGTGTTATTTCCAGCACTACTACTGCCACCACTCTCACCACTGGTGCTGGTACTTGACGTGGAAGACTGCGAGTTGGACTGAGGAGCCCAAGGATTTGGCAGAGGATCTCTATTTTCTGTACGAGATGGCTGACTGTCCCCTCCTGTTGATGCATTGCTTACTAAAGAAGCAAATGGGTTACCTCCAAACTACAGAGGAAGGAAAGCAAACATGTATCAACTAAAGCCAACCATCTTTAAGACTGCTAAAAATAATGAGTTGCATTTCCAAAATTACACATGAAGATAAATCTTGATGGCTCTTGTTCAGTTATACTCACCATCCTACAGTAATTCCTTGTAAATATTCTGAAAAGATGCCAACACTGAGAGATACTAGCACCTCCAAAAATATTAATTAATTCACACTTTTTTTTTCAAGCAGTGTTGCTACTATACTGGTATTTTGATTACAGTAACATTATCTCCTGCATACTGGTTTCCAACTTCAAAGCCTTTTTTTCTTTCTATCTTAGGTTCCAAGATACTAAAAAAACTTTCCTGTTCCTCAGAATTTTAAGGTAAAGAATTAAAGGAATTCAAATTTAAGTGGTACAGAAATTCATTAACTTTAAAATAGCTTTTCAAACACACAAAGTACTACCTGTATTTCCTCAATTTCAGAAAAGCACAGATCTTTCCTCTCAAGAATAAGAGGCTACATAGTGACTTTAAGCTTCAAGAAACGTTACGTCAAGTACACATCTGGAAATTTACATTAGTTACACGCTTCATTTTAAAAAAATATTTTCATGCAGTGGCATTTGCAATCTTGTCTCACCTGTTCCTGTGCTGCATTCAGCATTGGCTCCTGAATATCTGTGTACATACGTCGCAAGGCATTGTATCCACCTGGTATACTTTCAAGGTTGCTCAAGGCTCGGTCTTGGTTTCGCATCATTTCCTGCATCATTGCAGGGTTTCTAGCAAGTTCAAGTGTCTAAGGAAGTGGAACGTTTAATATGTATTAATAAGAAATCCATTCTAAAGTGAAAACGTCAGCATTTGGCAATATCTCAGTTACCACTGTCTAGAGTAATTTCAGATTATGATTAAAGTCAAATCAAGATGTCGGCTTAGTGGGACTCAACTGAATTAGGTATTTAGCCAGCATCCTACAACTGTCACTATGCTGGTTGGATCAGAAGAAAAACCTTGAATCAACTATTCTTTACTTTCTTCATCTTTTCAGCACAGTATACTCCTACCATTTCTAACATCATTACAGCAGGCAGTCTATAATTTGAACTTTAAAATAAATACCTACATTTTCAAAAGTATCCATTTGTTTTTTTGATACTTTCTGCCACACAGTATATCATATGTAACATTTAATTAAAAAGCACTCAGAAGCGCCCACAGTTTGATAAAATGAAAATGTGTGGTATTTTGGAGAATTACTACTTTTGGTAAACTCATTGTTGGCTAGACAATGGAAGGTTTCAAGTGCACACAGGGACATCCAACTCTAAACTCAGAAGACATGATTATACAGTCTTCAATGTCTTTCAAAACTATGCTGCAGATTTCCTGAATTATCAGTCTATTTTGAACATTAACAACTACAAATACAAACATCAGTTGCCTACAGCAGCCTTTTATCATTCTTCTAGCAAGTCTAAGAACTTCAACGTTTAAGCACTCTAAACTAAGCATGTCCAATTCCTATTTTGTTGTTTACAGCTACAGTATAATCAAAGGTGATGAACTTACAGAGATCCTGCTACATACCTGTCTCATTATATCTGGATTATTCAGCATGTGACTGATTTCTGGATTTCTCTGTATCAGTTGCTGCATTTGAGGGTTAGCCATAATTAACTGCCTCATCAGGTCAGGATTTGAAAGCATGCTCTGAACAAATGGATTTTCCATTATCTGAACCATCATTTCTGGGTTGGACATAAGTTGCCGTTGCATCTGACTCTGCAACTCTGAAAAGTTTGATGTATTTAAGCCCAGGCTACTCAGACCTGCCAAACCTCCAAGGCCACCTTTAAGAGGATGAAAAAAATATAACTGAACTAGTATACTTCTAAACACATCCAGGTTCTTTCTAAATACAAAATACAAGACATGCAACTAAAAATCCAACAATTCGCATCTGAAATATAACTTGTTGCAACTGTAACAGTTTCTCTTCCCATTTTCCATAGCTAAGATACATGGGATGTTTGGATTTTGGTGTTTAGGTTGTTCTCCCCACCCCAAACACTTTCCAATGCATTTATAATAATAATAATTTATCTGTCTCCTCTTGATTAGACTACAGCCAAGAGAGATCTCCCAATATGACTCATATTCCCTATTCCAATTAAAAGTAGAGCTGCTCTTCTTACTAATGCACCAAGAAAAAATTATGCTTTGAATTTCCCTCCTCAGGTAACTAGTCAGTCTGAAGAACTGTTCACACCTAAAAAAGCAATTGCTTACAATGGTTACCTTTCCAGCTCTACCTCTACTCCACCCCATGAAAGCAAGTGATATGAAAAAGAATGAACCAAAAACTTCACTGTGATTATGGAAACAGTATTTTTAAGTCCAAAAACTGCAGCCTCTTTATTAATGAAAGAGAAGATTGATAATGCCTTCAGATTTGGAATCCGAGAAATACTGAATTGCAAGATTAGCAGCAATATTCTCACTCCTCTTTCAGATCTTGGCTTCATGTTACAGGTTCAACTTCATCAATACTCTCCTGATAGCAATTCAGACGAACTTTTAAGGAGCACAAGGACACTGGAAGGAGCTTCATTATCCATAGTGCAAAAATACAATTGTACTACTGAAGAAGAAACAGCACAAGTCTGAATTTTCGCATATAAAATTAAGGAAACAACTTTCCTCTGATAAGTTACTGACTGCAAACCTTCAACAATCAATACCATAGATATTTGTAATATTTTTGGGGGGTCTGGTGTGTTTGTTTTTTTTTAAACAGTTCTGTCTATATTAGAATAAATCTTCACGGACAATTACCCGAATCCAAGAGGACACCCACCATGCTACCTAACAAATATTCTTACCCAAGCCAAAAGGGTTACTATTTGTTGAAACTGGTGCTGAGGTACTACTACTTGATGTTGATGTGGCAGCAGTACTCCCAGTGGTGGTTGCTTGTTGAGCTGAGAGGTCTTGTGATCTGAAAAAATGCAAGTTTAAAAGTTGCAAATTTAACAAATTATTCAAATAATGCAATTAAATGCAGGAATAATGTCACGCTTAAGAATCTTAATTTACATTTTGATTCTTTCTCAAAAATCACACTATTATCTCTAGATGGCTTCCTGTAACAAATCTCTCAGACATCTGTAATGTTATCAGTTTTTCAGAACAGTAGTTCCAAAAATTAAGGAAATGGATGGCTATCACTGCAGCCATTACCACCTTCTCATCCTGTCTCTGGGATGCCAACCAATGAATTATTTCCTCTGTCCTTACCTTGTTTTAAGGATCCCTGCTTTATTCCACTGTACTCAGATACAACTGATTACATGCTTGGGGCTTAAAGAAATAAAGCCTAGTAAGATTTGATGTCAGATTTGTATCATTCCGCATCTTTAACAGGATGCCTTACTAAATGTGAAATTCAGTTAACGTCTTATTTCATTAGAAGACAAACATCAGAATCTCAATAACCTTTAAGACTTCAAGAACAGAGTAAAACCACAAAGTTAAAGCTAGCATAACTCAGTATAACTCAGCACAGGCACTAAAGGCTGCCCAAGTCATATACTCTCCACACCTTTCTGCTGCAGAGGCATAAACACAGGTGCTGCCATGTAGTAAGAGATCAATGAAGCAAGCTTGTGTAAAGCTAACCTGGCCTCTACTCAAAAGCTAAGAGGCTAGTTTGAAACCCAGATCAGTTCTCCAGTCTCATTCAACAATCAGTCTCATAAATGCCTGTATTTGCAGAACTACAGCATAAAATAACTTGCAGAAATTATGAATTCAGACCTTAAACAAAGATTTGAGGATTTGACAGTACACTAAATTTCATTATCTCAGTTCATCTCAAAGTACATTTCAGCTATAGTAAAATTCTTGCTTGTTTCACTAAAGCAAAGACTAGGGAAAAAAATTCAATCAATCAAACAAAAAACTCTAAACACACACACACACACACACACACACACACACACACACACACACACCCCCCAACCACTCCAAGCTTAAGAGATGCCTCGGGTCCAGAGGCTTCCTTGAATTTCTTTTTAAGAGTTCTCTGACTCCAGGGTAAATATCAGCCACCAAAACCACAGAGAGAAACCAAAGGAATAATAAAATACTTTGCACGCTTCAAGTTCTTTCAACAAATCATCAACACTAGCTTATACATAGCCTGCTGGTATATACTGCTGATTGACTGATATTCTTGTCAACAGGTAAATAAAGCATGGCATACAAAGTGATGAATGTATACGGTGTCACAGGACAAAATTACCTCATTCAAGTTCTTACTGATGTTCTGGGTGTGAAGTAGGAGAAATGAGACATGGACTGCAATGGTGGTAGAACCAATACAGGGATACTAAAAATTCCCCAAAAGCCATAATTGTGGCAGTGTGCCTGGGTGTTCCTTTGGCCAGAGGCAGAGTACAGGAAGGTATGAGGAACTGACACTGGTATTTCAGCACGTATAGTTATTGTAGGTCCAACTTATGAACCCTCTGTAGACTACAAGTCAAAAGCATCCTGCTATCACTATGAAGCCTCTTTGCCACACTCAAGACTGCAGGCAAAAAAGCAGAAGTCATGGCAACAGCAGAACACTAGTTTAGATGCATGGAGCACAGAATTACAGGATTAGCTAATATCTATACATGACTGGAATGGCTATCAGGCCTAAATTTCAGGCTAGGGAAGCACAGGGTAGAAGAAGGAGACCTCTGCCAGTGCAAACAAAATGTTTTCACAGAGACAAGACTCCAGGACAGAGACGACGGAATTGAAGACATCACTTTCAACAGGTGACTACATTTAATGCTAATGTTACTAACAGGCCTTTGTGTCTTGGTGAGGCCTGGAAAAGGAAAGCATGTCTCTTTTCTCTCCTAAGTTTTATGCTCCATCCTTTATCATCTGACATTTTTCCACAGGAGGAGATCCTCAACACAAACAGGAAAGACTTAAGACGACGACGAGCAAGACCACTTTCAGTCGAGTACAACATACTTATTACTGACTCAGCAAGCAATCCAGTTGAGGGATACATTATGCTACTTGTCAAAAGCATTTTTTAGTTTAGTCATTTCCTTCTGAGCACTTCACAGGAAGTAAAGGGCAGGTGACATAGCTCAACTAATGCAACTTTCTCATAATCATTTTAAAGTTGCCTTATCAAAACAAACAAACAAAAATCTTAAAATCCAAGTCTTTCTGTTCAGCCAGATAAACTAGTTGCACTAAAGCAGTTCTCAAAAGTTTTCTTTCTTTGTTTTATTCAAAACAGTGAGTAAGGAGTCACTAGAAGTTTTTGCACCTGAAAAGAAAAGCTCCACAGCTTAAGAACTATGGAGCAAAACCACAGTCAGCACTCAGCACGAAAACCAAAAGTTAAATAAGAAAAAAGCAAGAGACTTGCACTTAGAAACATGAGTCCAGTTAAAATACAAGATAAAAGAGCACTGTAGCTTCAGACTGTTATTCTGCACCAACTGTGACTAAGAAGCTGATTAAAGTGATTTAGTGAAATCTAAGTTTGCCCAACAGAAAGCTGTCACATTAAGAATTCCGAGTATTTTTACTTCTGAGAGGTAAACAGAAGAACACTTATGAGTAAGGTTACCTGTTTTGTGTTTTGATAACCAGGTGAACAGTGAGTCCATCGTGAATGCCATGCTGAGTCAAAGTGTCTTGATCTTTTAAAATTTTCCCAGCAAATATCAACACAAGCTGATCAATGTGGGACTTGAAACGCTTAGAGATTTCTTCCTTGAACTAAACAAAAAAGTGATTATACATTTATGTAACTGAATATGGAACTATTTATTTTTTAATAATTTAAGGACAAGCATTTTGTTCACATTTAATGTATTACCCCACTTGCACTGCATACTGTGCTTTGCACAATCTAGAAATACTTTAAGTTTTCTCAATTTTTTTTGTCCATAGGAAGGTGGGAAATAATTACTTCTTTTATATACAATAAAAATGAGAAGAGTTCTATGTCGAGATCACTATTTATGTAACTAGCAACAACAAAAGAAATTACTCCACTTAAAGACTACTGTGGCTTTAATCAGGTGTGCATCCATGACAATAAATATATACTAGAATATACACTACTTACATATACACATATATATATACACACACACACTGTAAAGTATGTAAATAATTATAGACTAGTAAGTATACACTAAAATATGTATCTACACATACACAGACTACTGAAGCCATCCATTGCTGAAAGACTGAGGATGTAGTGTCACAAGTGCAATATACCCATCTATGCTTTTGCTGGAACTGAACAGAGAAGTATCTTCTCAAGACGTATTTTTGCTGCCTCTCATGAGTCAAAACTAGCATCCCTCTCCACACAGGTGAAAGTTAACTCTCAGATGGCTCTGCTTTCTCACTCAACACATGACTTAGACACATAAAATGTGTTTACAGGGTATGGTGAACAGCCACATTCTTCAGCTGACTAGAAAATCATTAAAACAACCGAACCTGGAAGCCCACTGTATACCTTCTTGCCTTCCTAGCCCATGATGACTTGGTTATGCTTTGACTGGCTTATGACTGAGATTTAATATTCTCTAGAAAAATGCTCTCACCGAAAGCAAAACATTTATAAAACTTAAAAAGGAACACATCCAAGAAAAATGCTAAGGAATTACTTGATCCTAAGAAAATCAGACAAATTTATTCAACAAAACTAGTTAGCAGGCTAAATATTTCAAAAAGGATTCCAGGAGTTAGGAAGTATATCAGAAGTTCACCCTAGTTAACATTTTAAAGTTAAGCTGACAATACTACTTTAAAAAAAAAACCATCCCAAACATCCAAGGGAAATCTCAGTCCATACAGGAAAACATACTAATCTTGCAATTAGTTATTAATAATTACTATTTTGAATAGGTATGTCTAAAAAAGTAAAATCTCACTGCATTATGCTTTGAAGGTAAGAGTTAATAGTATAGTAAGGAAAAAAACCCTCAAACATTAAAAAAGAGAGTCTGACAGAGAAAAGAGTTTAAAAGTCTGTGTTTGAGTAGGCAGTTGCCCTCGGTTAGTTAAAAGTTTGCTCACACAGTTAGTTCCAGTTCTTGGGGAAACAACTTTTAAGTCAGTCTTTATACTGGCAATATTTAGACTTGCAGGTCTTCCAAAATGTCATTCAGTCCATTCCTTCCTGAAGTGGGTTACTTACCTGTATTATTCCTGACATGTTTATCTAGTCTGTTCTCAAGATTCCCAGTGACTTTTTTCCAAGAAAACTATTCCAGTGTTTCACTATCCTATTCCTTCATCATCCTGCCCACAATGGACAACACAGATTGTTGTTCTTGTTAGAATAAAGGGTTCCAATAAAACTAATCTTTCCTAGAGGACTGTTTTCTCTGATCCAACCATTCCCACCACTCTTTGGATTTTCAAATCCAATTATATTGTTTTGTAAGTGTGAGGCTTAAAACTGGCCAAAATATTCCAGACGAGTTCTTATTTATACTTACTGGAACAGGACAAACGCTACATCCTGCAAGCTATATTCGTATTTATATGAAATCCATGTGGTAAAAATATTTGTATAACAGCACTGACTTATTTAACAGCTATAAACTCTAGAAACTTTTCTGCAGAGCAACTATTTAGGCAGTTGCTTCCTATTTTGCATTCTTCTCATTAATTATTCTTAACACACATTCAAAAGTAACACAAAGCCAGCAGAAATACTAACGATTTGGTGCAAAGCTAATGCATAAGAATAAAGAACTACCATACTGTGTAAAACCAGCAAGTAATTTCATCTACCCAAACTCATTTATTATGGTATTTTCTACAATATGTTGTGACAGTGAGATCCCCAACTTAATTCTCATCAGAAGGCTAATGCTGTACCAATAGAAAGAGAGGGAATGGTTTTAGTCTGGAAGAGGGTAAATTTAGATATTAGGAAGAAATTCTTTACTGTGAGGATGGTGAGACACTGGCACAGGTTGCCCAGGGAAGTTGCAGATGCCCCCTGCCTGGAAGTGTTCAAGGCCAGGCTGGATGGGGCTTTGGGCGACCTGGTCTGGTGGGAGGTGTCCCTGCACTTGGCAGTGGGGTTGGACTGGATGATCCTTCCAACATAAACCACTCTATTAATAGAATCATAGAATACGTCAAGTTGGAAGGGACCCATATCATCATGCTCAATTCTCTGCTTCTTGCAGGACTACATGAAAGTAAATCATATAACTAAGAGTGTTGTCCAGATGCGCCCTGAACTCTGACAGGCTTGGTGTTGTGACCACTTCCCTAGGGAGCGTATTCCAGTGACAAACCACCCCCTCAGTGAAGAACCTTTTACTGATGTCCAATCTGAACTTCCCCTGATGCAGCTTCATTCCATTTCCTCATGCCCTATCGCTGGTCACCAGAGAGGAGATCAGCACCTCCCCCTACACTGCTTCCATTAAGGAAGTCGTAGACTGTGATGAAGTCACCTCTCAGGCTTCTCTTCTCCAAGCTGAATAACACAAGTGGCCACAGCCATTCCTTGGAAGTCCTGCCCATCTTGGTTGCCCTCCCCTGGACACAGAGTTTGATGTTCTTCTTCAAATTACTTTCTCTTAAACGAAGCCCTACCACACGTATTTCGAAGCTGCTATTTACTTATAAGGTCAAGGAAACAAACCACCACTACAGAACATAACCAAACAGTATCTCACATTACCAGTATATAGGCATCAAAGGTTATATACACTTCCTTTTCCCTACTTGCATGTATTGCTATTCAGATGATCTGTAAAAACTACAGTAAGACATGAATACAACAGCCAAGGTACCAGGACCCCCAAAATAACATTTACAGCAACATACATGCATGATCTCAGTCACAACGATGAAACTGTCAAGAATGCTGAGCCAATTTTGCCTGAGACATATATACATTTAAAACCTAATAGAGATACAAAAAAGGTCTCTTCATCAGCTTTGCATGTGTTCAGCACAACCTTGGGATTTCTGAAATGAGAATGTATAAGCAGGATAGAGCCCTCTTCTTTCACCGAAGATTACCACATAAAACCCAAGTTACCATGCAAGATATTTTGCAAATGAGTCTGTTGGTTGGTGTTAACAGGCAAAGATGCCATCAATACCAGATTAGGTCCACCCATTTTATTTTGTGGAGGCAGGGGGAAGAGATTAATCTATACATTTGTACAACAAAATCCCCCAAAAATTTCCAGTACATGTGGGTTTTGTGGGTTGTTTGGGTTTTTTAATCATCAGCATCTAATGTGCTGCTTCTGAGGAAAAAAAAAATAAATTAAAAAATCGAAAGATCAGTCAGTCAGTCTTTAACATTTACCTAATCTCTGCCAATGCTGGTAGATGGTCTTAGATCAGAGTTCGGTTCAAGTCACTACTGTCTGCACTGTGAAATAAAGTCAAGGAGGGTGGAAGACTTTTTACCATCCTCTGGGGGCAAACACTTATCTTCAGTATTCACAGCCTCTCCATCTGTTGATGGTAACTGAACTGCAAGAACCACAGTAAAGGGGAAAACCCAGAAGTTTCTTTAAATTCAGAGAGTGAAAGGACAAGAGACATGATTGGCAATTGCACTCTTACTCCCACAGACCTTACCTGTTCAGTTTTTATAGGACTCCCTTCTGACTACTGGCAACAAATAATTTGAAGGATAAAGTGCTACAGTAATAAAATGCAGCATAAACACTGAAAACAACCATCTCAATTTTCTTTTCCCCTCAAATTAAACATAAACAATTGACAGCAAAGGAAAGAAAGGAAATAAGATTATTATGATGGGAATTAATATATATGTAGGCAGCTGTAAGAAAAACTACGGTATTGTTTAAATCTTCAGTTTGTACAATTGAACTAAATAACGCTATCAGTAAATTACAGTTAAAATACTTTGTCACCTAGGAAAATCAAAAGCAGGAGGAGTCTGGAGTGTCACTAGCCGAAAACAACGAGCATTTCTGTCCAATTCTCCTACTGCACTGACTCTTCCTTTTTATTAACACATAACACTCAAAACAATGGTTTCAGCTAATTTGCTTTACTGTTTTAAAACACAAGTTTTACTTCACTGTAAAAGTACTAGGCATTGTGATACTACAAAGATGTTCAGAGCATAGAAAAGGACTTCAAGTTGTAAAAACAAAGAACATTTCAGCATACCTAACACCTAGCATATTCACAGAAACTAATTCATTATACTACTCTAGTAAATTAATACAATAAAAATAATGTAAAATTATGTCAACTTTAGACACAACTGTTAGGTGAATAAGTGGAATGGAAATCAGACTGAAACACAAGACTAAGATCTAGACAGAGATCTGGTTTCCCCAATGAGAAAAGCAGAAAGCATTCTTAACACAGAGGAAATAATTCAAGGTCACAGCCTCCTCAAAGCATTTGACATGAATTAGAGAAAATGCAGAGTTAGTCTTGTTGAAGCACCTTGCCTACGTTACCATTTTACCTCAAGTTAACTCATTTCTATAAAATTTTTTTAAAGGACAGTTACAGTGTAATTTTTCACAGTGAACACATTCACTTATTTTTTAGCAGCACACCAGCACTTCTTGTTTATACTGTCAATTTCCATGCCAAACATACACATATTCACACAACTTAAAAAAAAAACTTAGCCCAATACTCTACTAACAATACTTGTTTTTTTGTTGTTGTTTTTTTTTAAATCTGTGTTAACACAAAAAAAGGCTCCACAAAGTAAGTCAGGATTTCTATTGCACCTGCTACACTTGATAGCCTCTGAAGATTACTGCAAGGTATAGCTGGGAACCACCACAGTGCTGATGCCCAGTTCTGAACAAATGCATACTCATACCTGAGCTAGTTAAAGTAAACATTTTGTCACTGAACAAAGCAAATGTCTGAATACACATCAAGGAGAACAGCAGACTAAACCAGACTGTTCTGCACTGTCACTTTGCAGAGCAGCTTCATACTTTAAACATTAACCTAATAACAACTGACTATCTGACAAGTTGGAAAGGCCTGGTAAAAAGTTATTTCATGCAAAGTAAAAATCTTAACATACAAACTGTCCTTTGACATGCTACCACCATATAATAGTTAAAAAGCTTTTGTTGACTCACTCTGTGACATCAAAAACAGCAACCGTAATAACATTGCTATACATTCAAATGACAAAGTGATATGAAAAAGGAATTAGAAGAGAAAGAAAAAAAAAGTAATACTTTCAAAAAAATTCTCTCAATCCCGGCTTAATAAGACATATTTAAAATTTAAACTACAGTAACAGCCTAAAAGAGGCCTCAGGGAATTAACATCCAATTCCCACTGTAAAGTAACAGAGAAGATGCCCCTGAAAACTGTAATTGCTTTGAAAACACTACAAAAAAAGCTACAACTGTATCGAGATGACAACAAAAAAGCAAAGTTGCTGATTCTTTCCACACCAAACTGTTTTGAACAGCAGTGGACGACACAGAAGCAAATGTTTGTATGTAGAGGGCTGAACTGCAGTTCCCAGCAGTCCCTCAAACAGTTCTACTACAAAGAAAGATTTTCAAATCACATCAACTTGTTCAGCACTGCTGTTTCAAAACACACCCACAATCCACTTAAACTTTCAACTGCCATTCCTATTAACATACACAACTGAGCCTATTAGCTGTGATTCTGTGGACTCTAGTCTCTCTTATACCTACACCTAGTAGTTTCAACAGAGGCTGTCACAAGCTCCAGCTTTCTTTTATACAATACCACTAAAGGTTACAGGTCTTCTTGATCAAACACAGAATCACAGAATATTAGGAGTTGGAAGGGACCTCAAAAGATCATCCAGTCCAACCCCTCTGCCAGAGCAGGATCACCTAGACTAGGTCACACAGGAACGCCTTCCAGGCGGGTTTTGAATGTCTCCAGAGAAGGAGACTCCACAACCTCTCTGGGCAGCCTGTGCCAGTGCTCTGTCACTCTTAAAATGAAAAAGATTTTCCTCATGTTCAGGTTGAA